TCCGGCGGTGAGGTCGGTTTCGCGTGGGGAGACCGCGAGAGAGATAGCGTTTCGGGAGCGAGCGAGACGGCGCATGCGGCATGCGAGCGAGCGAGATAGTGCGTGCGGTGTACGTGCAAGCGCATGCCGAGAGAGGTAGCGCCGCTCGAGAGTGAGAACGCATGCGGGCGGCAAGCAAGATGGCGGCAGCGGTATAGGTAAGGTTGGGCGGAATAAGCAAGCCTTGCGTATGTATATATATATGTATTTCGCTGTAGTAACGGCCCTGCCGTTACAAAGTTAGCGGCGCCAAGTTTTTTTAATTAAAATTTTTTTATATTTTCTTATTTCTATTGAACTTATTTTGAAACTCAGGTTTCTCTTAATAAAAATATAATGCGTTTTAATTTTATGCAGAGAATTTGTGTATAACATTTCTATAAATACAAATTTGATTTTATGACAAATACTATTTCAAATTACAAATTCTCACAAACTGAATTGCTTCTAAGTACTTGGCTAATTAACTATTGATTTCATATTTAGTTTTTATTTCTTATTATTTAGGAAAAATATTTTATAAATTATTTTTTAGATATATACTTGGCGTATTTTTTTTACCTTTGTGAGGTTTTTTTAGTTAAATATATCTCTGCTGAAATTCCTAATCCATGTGAAAATCGTACTTTACATGATATAGTTATGAGACATATGATTCATGGACCTTGTGGCGATTGGTGCTTGGTAAATGGACGATGTTCAAAACATTATCCTAAATCTTATCTTGAAGAGACCAGAATGGATGAAGATGCTTATCCTTATTATCGTCGACGAGATAATGGCAGAAATTTTGAACGCCCTGGTGGATATGTAGTTGATAATCGTAATGTAGTTCCATATTGTCCTATTTTATCGATTATTTTTAATTGTTATATTAATGTTGAGGTAGTTTCAAGTATCAAATCGGTTAAATATCTGTATAAGTATATTTACAAAGGACATGATGTTGCTGCTATAACAATTGAGCCAAGAACAGAAAATGTAATTATTGATCATGATGAGATACGTGATTTTATAGAAACTCGCTATGTTGGACCTGTAGAAGCCAGTTGGCGTATACTTGGGAAAAAGTTACAAGATAAAAGCCATACCATAATGCGTTTACCAGTTCATCTTTCTAATGAACAAAATGTTATAATTGAAAACGAAGCTATTGAAGAGGCAATGACTTCTGCTTTAAATCAAGCTACGATGTTAATAATTATTTCTCATTAAATTCTCGCGACGAAGAAGCAAGACAATATTTATATGTAGAAATTCTATGCTATTATACGTTTAAAAAAGAGAAAATCAATGGTAGAAATGTATCGCATTGGATTAAACGCAAAAGTCATTATAATTGTATAGGACAAATGTATTCCGTTAGTCCAACACAAACAGAATTATTTCATTTACAACTATTATTACTCACTGTAAAGGGAGCTAAGAGTTTTATTGATTTAAAAACTATAAATGGAGAAGTTTGTCAATCATTTTCAGCAGCATGTCTAGCGTTATGTTTGATTGAAGATGATGATGAATGGAGACGAGCTATGAACGAAGCTGTTGGATGGATGATGCCAAGACAATTTCGTAGATTATTTGTACGTATATTATTACATTGTCAACCATTGCATTCTGAAGAGCTATGGGAAAATTTTAAGTAGCAATGTCGGAAGATTATGTACGACACTTGGGAATGTTACAAGGACAAATGAAAGCATATGCGCAAATTAATGCTATGCTGTGTGCTGAAGGCAAAAGTTTGGCTGATTTTCCACAAATGGAACAATTGCAAGAAAATAACGAAGAACATGATTATTTGACAATTGAAGAAGCAAGAAAATTGGTGTCAGACAATATGAACAATTAAATGACAAACAGAAAGAAATAGTAGATCTTATATTAAATAGATTAGACA